TGAAACCAAGTCTGACAGATGAACCTACACGATGGTGTTTAATTATTGTTAGCGGGATAGCACGCACGAATAGCTTAAAGTGGGATAAATACAGGGGGTCGAAAGTACATATTAGAAGGCGATTTTATGATTTAAGTTATGAAAAGCTATGAAAATTGATTCGTCTAGCTTTGTCTTGTTCTACTTTCTGGGCTCGGCACAGCTTACGGGTTGTAACGCTGCAGAGAAACATACTTTGCGCTTTCCCCAGTATAGAAGCTTAATAGATGAAAGGAAAAACACACAGCTATGAAGACGCCTTCATTAAAAACCAAATAGTCATGAAATGTGTCAGCCCAAGCTGGGTCCAAAAAATTCCATTGAGACCTGAACTTTATGTTGAAAAAGAAAATAGAAGACACGTAATTACTATCGTTACCGTCCTCCTTTAATGCGCTCCAATGGAATCTATAAATGCAAGTCCACTTGTATTAGGTACTGAGAACATTTCATGGAAAGGTCTATTCAGATTCACCCGACACTGGTAAAAAGGTGCTATAAAATGCGTAGTACAACTTTGAGTTTGCAGTGTTCTGCGTTACCTGTTGTGCTTTGATAACCAAAGCACGAATGTTTTAAACGTCTCTTTTAACTGAGCCAACTACGGTGCAGGTGGAATGCCAGTAATAATTTTAAATGTTTTGGGTGTGAATTGGGTTTTGTGCCTTTTAATTGAAATATCGCGCCGTAATGGCGAAAATTAAATAAATGTGACGACACAGACGATTTATCTCGAATAGGACCTCAAATAACTAACCGATACTTTATTTCTATCACCCTTTCTACTAAAATAGACCACCCATATACTTGAAATATCTCCAATCTTTTCCTTATAAAGATAAGATTTTGTGGTCCAAAAATCATAAATTTCTCAGCAGTACAACGTTCAACAAAGTATGCACTATTATGCGGCATCATTCAAAACGGTGTAATTTCTACTGCAATGAATCACCAAGACTCCCATTCTTACGAGTGAAATCAGAAAACTATTCAGAAGGATTAATAGAGAAACCATGGTACTGCAAAAAGAGTAATCCTATTGACTGGGCAATCGATTTGCTTTCATTTTGCAATAGTTTTGTGCTGCATTTTAGATAACAGACAATCGTGTAAAATAGCATTTTAGATAAAAGGAAAGAGATAAGACGGAGGATTTTACAAACTCTTAGTTAGTCCATTTGGCTCCTGACTGTGAGACATCGCAAAAAAAGCGATTAACCGCAAGTTGATTGGCACATATAAAGCTTCTAATCTGCTAAATTTCTTATCCGGTCTGTTCGAAAGTATTCTTCTTTATCTCAGCAGACTATTAAAATAATGGGCAGGGTGACTTCACTTTGGTGCGTTTCAAAAAACGACGAAGCATTGATGAAATAAACAACGACAGTAGAATTCATCGGGTCGTATCAACAGTGAGATTCATTCGAAACAGTTGACAACCAACCCGGTGACCATTAACCGATGAACAAAAACCAACTCGAACTTTTTCCTCCGTTTACTGTGCCCCGTTTGGCATCAGCTGAGTAGACTAATTGCAGGGCAACTCATAAAGTGTCTTAGGTGCATAAATGGCGAACAGCAATACATATGTATTACAAAATGACTATCTAGGCAGCGAAACACACTCATTTGCAAACAAATTTGGTTTTGCGAGAGACTCACCTGGAAATCAGCTAAACTGCTTGTTAATGGTTTTCAAAAAACTGAATGTGTTGCACCAGTCCGCCTCATGTTTCAGTTGTAACGATATTCGAGAGATTTTCAAGCTTAAAAACTGAGACATCTCGACTATCGTACCAACTGAGACGTAAGGCCATCTTTGTGAAGCACATTTAGTTGAAGAATATCACAAACCAGAGATTCAGCTGGGTTTCAGGCAAGTGTCTTGCTAATACCAAATTGATGTGCAAATGAGTGTATTTCACTAATTTCGTGCAATTTTTGTTCAAGTGGGAAATAAAGTTGATAAAAAATCTTGGACTGCACGCACCTGATGAGCCCCAAGAAGCGTGAAACCGGTGGTGGGCTGTTGAAGAAGTCTATCATGACTTTCCAGGTACTTTTTAAGGTCTTCTTCAAGATTGCTCGCCATATTACTCGGTATTTTGACATGTAAAAATACCTTACCCCACTGTCACGGAATATACCATGTAAAAAACGAAATGGAGTAAGGTAGACTGTGTTTCCATTTCTAAGTTGAACTGTTTATTAAAAGCATTTCAAGTTGTGGCAATTTAACTTTCGGCATCTGCAGATCAGAGGGATAATCAGCTTAAAGAAAAGAGCAAGAATAATTTCAAAATACCGTGACCCCGTCGATAAACTGCCGGTTCTGGTACTTTGTGTGATAATGTTGGTGTTTTAGATAGGTTATCATAATACCATGGTCTCTCCTAAGTACTTTTGCGACAATGGGAGTT